TCTCCAACCTCGCGACTGGCCTCATGCTACTTCCATCGATAGGATGAGCAAAATCGAATGAATCTTCTGCTAGAACATGGAAATATACAGTGCCTGGTTGAATCTGCCCAACACCTGCCGGACAACACTTTCTGCAATCGACGGCGCGGCGCGAAACAAACGCACAGCTAAAAAAGACCCTGTTCATAACGCCGCACCAGCAGCAACTGTACCAAGCGCCCCCGAAAAAAAAAACCGTACGAACGCGTGGGCCTGCCCGCCCAAAAAAAAGAAAACATACAAAACAGGGCACTACGTCTGTCCCATCCAACCGACATGCGGGCCTCATTTTCCCTGGGCCCAGGGGAAGCGTCTTCCGGGGCCCGGCTTACACTTTTAAGTATTTAGTAAATTAGTAGATATAGATTTACATATTTCACGCAATTCCTCTCTCTCTCTCTCTCTCTCTCTCTCTCTCACACACACACACACACACACACACACACACACACACACACACACACACGCGCGCGCGTTAGATACAGGCCGAGGGAGTGCGAGGCTCAGGTAAAGTGGTATCCCTGCACCGGGCTAGTGCTCTTCCCAGCCGACAAGAGAGCAGTACCGATCCTACCCTTGGTAATTGGAGCCTCCCCCTCCCTACTTCCCGATCCCGACTCCTCTTCGCTTTCAAAGAGACGCTCCCCACTTAGGTGAGGAGATTGGGGCAATGTCCTTGGCCTTGAATGCCCACGACCTTCTGAATGCCACTTACGTGCTCTACCAGCTGAGCTAGGTCGCTGGCCCTCTTCTTCTTCTTCTTCTTCTTCTTCTTCTTCTTTTTAAATATGGCTCCTTCTGTTCTAGGGAGCATTAGTCCGGTTCCTCTCCCCGCCGCAAGCCCAAAGGAATACAACTCGGCAGCATGCTTCCCCGCGTTATAGCCCAGAGAACCATGACTGTCACAGCATTTGATTACTTCCCAGTCGGGAAGGATTGACTGCCAGTCAAGCCCATGCTGGTGTCCATCCCCTCCCCCTGACAACTGCCCCTCCCCTCAAGAACCGAGACTTAAAAACAACCGAGCACTTCCCAACCCAGGTTTCCTTAACTCTTGACCCGCATGTCCTTCACCAGTCTCCATTGCGAACCTGACTCGTATTATTTCCTCCAACATATTCTAAACCCTAAACCCTCCTTCCCAACCCGGGTTTCCTTCCGACCTTAGTTGATCCCTCGATCCGCATCTCCTAAGTCACAAACCTTAGGTGTGAACGTAACTGCCGTCATTCCCTCCGGCGACAATTTTTACATCCGAAACCCTCCTCACCCATCTCAGGCTGTGGCCAGGGCCATGCCCAAGTGTGGGATAGACATAGATCCACCGAATTAGCTGCTGATGTTACAACCTACAAGTATTTACCCTTGTCCCCTTTGCAATGACCAGAGGGATCCCAGTTATCCATTCCCCAGCATGTCATTGACAAATTTGCTGAGGATATAATCCTGCTTCTTGGTGAGGTTGTTCTTCATGGTCTTGAGGGCTATTGATTTTGTGAATCTACTTTGAGCCAGGAAGGAAAATCTATTGCTGGAGAAAAGACTCCAGCAGGCAAGCAGGACGGGCTTCCGATCCGACCTACTTTTCCCGATCTAGAATGTGAGATCCTGCAACTTCAAGAGAGGAGGAGAGGGGGGGAGGAGAGGAATAGCATCCTTAGAATGAAAGCCAAAGATCTTTGCCAGACACGACTGGCCTAGCTCAGTCACTACAGCTGGCAATTGTTGAAACACAGACCTGAGTTCAAATTCCGATGCAAACGAATGTCATTGAGTAGAGATGTGGGCATGCAATCTCCCAAGGGGGTTGTGGTTGGTTACTGTGACATGCTGGGGGGATCCCACACTGGTCCTGGGGGCCCAGAAATCCGCTAGGCAGGCCCCTTGGCCACCTAGTAGGCGCTTTTTGTGACGTCCTACCAGCTGAGAGGACCTCGGCCATCATGAGGCCCCTAGGTGAGTGCTCTGACACAGGCGTATGTGAACTTCGTCTATTCTCAGTCTAGGGGCATCGCCACACCACTCTTGAAATGTGCAAAATGAGAATGAACTTCCCGCTAGAACATGGCCAGATGCACCGCCACATTTTTGTCTTTTTCACATTTCGAGAGTGGTGTGGCGAGGCCCTAGGTGTGTGTGTGTGTGTGTGTGTATTTTGTCGGTTCTCAGTTCGGTTCAATTGCTGCATGTCTCGTTGGTGTCACTCCGTCCGGTTAATCATTTTGTGCCAGCTTGTTTTCATCCTGGCCTGGATTGCATTTTGCAGGACTTTGTCCAAACGGCCACAGGACCTGGTTCGTCCTGTTCGGACCTGCTGCAGACACCGTTCCGTGTTTAGGTCCAGCTTGCCTGTTTGTGGCTGGGCCTGTGTCTGTCTTTTATGGCAGGCCCGTTTCTGTGATCCAGGCCCTGTTGCTGTGACAGTGTGGGAGGGTCTGGACACAGGCCGCTCATTTTTGGGCATGGGTGATTCAGCAGGACACGGCCTCCTTCACAGCCATCGCATCTTGGTTTGATGAGACCGCCCATGAGGGAGTCCGGGTTGGGTGCTGGCTGTAGCAGAGGTATTCAGGAGAGGCCGACGTAGAACTAGGTGGGTAGCCTTCAGTTCATTTGTGTGGCAACTGTCTGCTACGTAGAGCAGTCATCGGTAGAAGAAGGTATAGCAGCCAAGTGGCAGAGGGGGTGTAGCAGCCCATGGTCTGAAAGTCGGGGTATGTGCACGGCTGCATTGGAGAAAAAAGTGGCTGCAGTGCAGTGGGAAAAGTACTACTGGTTAAGTCGGAGAGGAGAGATCGCTGGAGCGGAGCGGTTTCCGAGAAGCAGGAAGAGGAGCTGGAACACCTGGGCGCGGAAGCTAATTCATAGGCACTTTTTATTTTTATTTTTTATAAATAACGTTAAAACTTAAAAGTAGTGGGATTTCACTTGCGCCGTGAAGCTCCTGCTTATATTCTGCACCTCTCTCAAGTCATTGCACAGAGTGGAACTAGAGTCAAGCTCAACAGGGTGTCTTCTTACCCCCCAAATTCTTCCAAGCCCGTTCCCTTGCTGTGGTTTCGCAGGGCGGTATATAGGGACAGTGGGAATCTCATTAAGCAGATAGTAGATTGTCACTAATGCCAGAGAACAGACATAGTTCTTAGAGCTATCGAGCTATATCTGGCAGTTCCCTCCTACGAGCTGAGAAGGCATATAGTCGATGGTTACTAATGTCGGAGAATAGACATAGTTCTTAGAGCTATAGAGCTATTTCTGGCAGTTCGCTCCAGGACCTAGGAGCTGAGCCGACGCATTTAGAGGAGTAGTCATGACAAAGGTGGTATTTTTGACACAAGGCTTTGAAATTGGCCACGACTATAAAGATAGAGTCTGATAGACAGAATCGCAATTATAGCAGAGCCCAACAAAAAGAATAGCTCCAAAAAAAGGATTTTCTCTTCATGGTTCAGTAAAATAGGTACCCTTTAGGGGACAGTGGGCCCGGTTGCCAGCTTTGGTTACTAGTTTGGAACTAAGTCTTTTGGGGGGAAAAAAAGGGTCTTACGGACTCTTACCGTGACATGACGACCAGAGGTCAAGTTTGACGTGTCCTCGCTCCAGCCGTCCTTTAATATTGACATTCGACAACGGTGGACTTAGAGGGACCACGCCGAGGGGGGTTTTCACTTCGGTCAGAGGCTAGTTTGGTTCTACAAGGGTGAGGAAGGTTAGCACAGAAAGCAGGCCACTAGGCAGAGATAAGGAAAACAGGGGCGGAGCGGCAGTACATCATTTCTATTACCAGAAGCGATCAATGCTGCTGCCTCAGGATCCCTTTCACCATAACAAAGGGAAGCATTGTGTGTGTATCTGATGTAAGGTACACAGGAGGCGTTTTCCAATCTTCTCTTTTCCAAGCCAATTATCGCCGTATCCGTCTACCTCCTATCTTTCCACGCGGAGCCAGCCCGTGCGGTGCTGCGGCTGCGCTGCGCGGGTTCACAGTGCCGGAGGTCATCCACTGCAAATCTGATTAATAAATCAGCTACCTTTTCTTTTACAAAAAAAAAAGAAAAAAAAAAAACACCAATTTGTAAAACAAAACGAAATGGATCCCTCTCAGCCAGTCGAGGAGCCTGCCTAAATGTGGTACGCCCCACCGCACACACACACACACACACACACACACACACACACACACACAGAGAGAGAGAGAGAGAGAGAGAGAGAGAGAGAGAGAGAGAGAGAGAGAG